AATAATTTACGCGGTGCAAAGAGAGTGATTTTGAAATCGGTTTTCCTCAATTGTGATTAAATGTAGTGTGTGCAATCAAATTGTGCTAATTTATTTAGTGTGTGTGGTTCCCTCCTGTGACGTGGCAAGGATAGTAAAAAATACAGTTTTTTTTTGTGAATTTTTAAATAAACGATTTCATCGGGACAGTGCAGAAAAAATCGAAATTTGGGCAAAGTGTTTAATTAACAATCAAGTGGCTTATGTCCTGCACTAAAAAAAAAAAGTCTTTGACAGTTTGACAAGCAACACTTGTTTTGTGCGCTACTCCATAAATTCTTCGACAAAAAAATTAATTTTTCGTGTTTTCAATAAATTTTCTTTGAAAATATTAAAAATAAAGTTGTTTTAAGTGAGAATATAGTGAAGATTAACATTTTCACACAATTTTTTGCGATTTTACTAAAAAATCGGTATTTTGGTTGCCGGTAGTGTGTCAAAAGTGAAGTTTTTGCGACGTAATTTGTGCGAAATTTTCCACCAGTTGACCCGGCGACTTTTATTGTAACTCAATTTTGGACTATTTTCTGGTACGCTGAAAGTGTTTTCCGGAAAATTCGGACTGAAATTGCATTGTTTTCGACAAGTTTTTCCACCTGTTGTTCTAACCTCACTTTGAACTAACTTGTTGTAAGTACATTTCTATTTTTCATCGGTTGACGTACGCCATCTATTGACGAATAGGAAGTGTCTAAAATAGACGTATTGCAATTAACTCTCTACGGTCTGTTTTTTAGAAAGTTAACCCATAGGGTCTTAGAGAAGATTTTTTTTTTTGAATTTTTTCTTCTTAAATTTTAATTGATTTTCCGAATATTCTTATATTTTTGCGCTTAAATTAATATTTTCCGTCGGAAAATTTAATCGGGCTTGAAATTAATTAAAGTTTTTCCTGAATTTATATTTAAAATTTGATATATATTTTCGGGATTTGAGAATAATTCTTGGTTTTCAAGATAATATTTCTGCAATTTTCAATATTTTGACTCAAATTCATTGATAAATTCGGTATTAAAATAAATTTTCAATTATTTTTCGAATTTTAGTGATTTTCTTTCTCTATTATTTTCATTTTTACCTGGGATTTTGTTTCAATTTGATTCAAATTTAAAGCAATGGAACCAAATATGACCAAGAAAAAGGGCGGACACGGGGAAGGTTCGAAAGAACGTCCATTAGGGTCTGCCCTGTCTAAGTCTGGAGCCAGTGCTTCCCAGGCACAGGTTTTAATGACTTCCTCTTCTTCTTCTGGAGTGGGTGGGGGTTCCTACTCATCACTTACAGACCCTAAGGCCACCAGCAACCTGATCACACCGGGGGGCTCGGAGGCCACTGGGTCTGAGGTGATGGGAGAAATTCTCATAAACCAGCCACCAGCATCTTCATCGGCAACCAGCGGTCAGAACCTTCCTGGTAGCTTGGGTAAAACCCTTGGAGATGGTGGTAAAAAGAAGAAGAAGAAGAAGAAGGGTGTCAAAACACCCGCTGAAAGCCATTCAGCAACAATAATACGACGAGAACGTCGTGTACGTAATAAAGCCCGAGAAAACATGGAGAAATCCACTGTGACTACCGGGCTTTGTTCGAATTCGATGCCAGAGCTAAGTGGGACTCCACAATCGTCGTCCACTCCTACCAGAGCTGGACCATCTGTTGGTACCTCACGGGCTCTGGGTAGGGTGCAACAACAGTCCCTGCCAGACCCATCGTCGGCATCGAAAAAGCGTCCTCGCCCACAGGAAGGAACTCCACCAGAGCTGAACGCTCACAAACGGTTGGACGTAAAGGAGACCCCAGAAAATGTGGCATCGGGGAAACCCACCTATGCCCAGGCCCTGGTAGGATCTTCTCTGGAGATGGCGGTTGTACATTCCGTCGGCCAGGACAGTTTGTCCGAAATATCGCATGACTTGTTCACGCAGATATTGAAGACATTAAACGTCATCATGGTCGAGGATGTACGAGCCGGCTCCCAGGCACCAACGTTTGAGAGTACCACCCGCACTCGTGGAGTTGTCAAGATTGTGTGTGATGACAAGCGCTCCAGTGAATGGTTAATGGGCGTGGCTGGAAGACTGGCTACCAAGCTGGAACTTCCTCTTATTGTCTGTGAATTCAGTAAGATACCACGCCCTCCGCTGTTCACTGGTTTCTTTAAGCAGCTTGAGCATTGGGAAGATGCGGAGATCTTGCTGAAATCAGCAAATCCCCTACTCGCACCAATCTCATTCAAACTCTTAAATTCGAAAAAGGAGGCAAATGGCACTCAGTTCACTGTTAGTGTCAGGCCTCGGGACCGGGCCATTCTCCTCGAGAAAGGCCCAGAGTTCAAGGTGGGAATGGGTAAAACTCGCCTATATGAAATCACTCGTTCCAAAAAATCAGACCCTGCTGAAAAGAAAGGGACTGACCACATGGACGAGGTAGTTATTTCATCGGAATCTGATTCTGAATCTGGTTCTGAAATAAATACAGAAGCGACGGATGACCTGGAAGCAAAATGTGACGATTCATATCGGAACGTTGATGTGACTGTGGTTGAACGACAATATTCTGACACTTATATGGATGAGTTATCTGAAGAGGGCGGACAGGAACAAGTAGAGATGTCTACAGAGACTGCTGCCCTATCGGACACCGCATCCAACACTTCACATGGCCCAGAAGCCATGGATACTGGGGGAGTTGCGGACGAGCAACGGGAATCCAGAGGCATCGACTGATGCATCTGGTACCCGAAGCTCTCTGCTTCTCTCACTCTCTGAACTGTAATTTGATATAGCCATGGCTAATACAAATAACAGTTCATCCACACACGCTGTATCTACAGCCAGCAACTCAAATCAATTGAACGCGCTGGCATGGATTAGCATACATCAAATAAATTTGCATAAAAGCAAGGCAGCGACTGCACTTGTGTGTAAGTCAATATGTGATATGCAAACAAAAAAACAAAACTCCATCTTTTTGATTCAAGAGCCCTGGGTTGTCAAGAACAAAATATGTGGCTTTGACACCGAAAAGATGAATTTATTGTATTTGAATCAGTCGAACGAGCCCAATAGATCATGTATCGTTGCTTCCAAGGAACTGAGCTTGACACTTTTGCCACAGTTCAGTTCACGGGACACCACAGCAGTGAAACTGGGTAAGGGCAGTACTCTTGATTCAGATGTGATACTAAGCTCTTTCTACTTGGCAAACCCTTCGAATGAAGATATTCCAGGAGAGGGACTTAAAGCATTATATGATTATTCTATCAACCGATCACTTCCAATAATATTGGGGGGTGATGCAAATGCGCATCACACGGTCTGGGGAAGTAGTGACACAAACCGTAGAGGTGAGTTACTTCTCGAATATATTGCAACGACTGACCTGTTCATCTTAAACAGAGGTGTACAACCAACGTTTGTTACCAGAAACAGGTCGGAAGTCTTAGACATAACTTTGATATCTGCTAATTTCTCGCATTTCGTGAGGAATTGGCATGTTACAAAGGAAGATAGACTCTCTGACCACAGAGAGATTCGCTTCCAACTATTATGTGCTCGCCGAGCACAGAATAAATTCAGAAACCCTAGAAATACAAACTGGGAATTACTTAGAAACGAAGTAAGAAAAGGGTCTACAGCACTCAGAAGACTGTGTCTGGACATCTCTACAAGGGATCGTTTAGACCAAGCAACTGAAAGTCTGACAGATCTTTTGAAGATTTCGTACCATATTTCATGCCCTGAGCGTGAAATTAAGATAAAGAACAATTATTGGTGGAATACGGACCTAAAAAGGCTAAGAAAGGAATCCAGAAGACTACTTAGAATATATTTAGCAAGAAAGGATACACCTCAAGGCCCACTCTGCCATGACATATGGCGAAGGAGTAGAAACAAGTACACCAGTGAAATTCTTATTGCTAAAAAGAACTCTGAAAAGAGATTCTTTAGCAGAATTGAGGGGGCTAAAAGCACCTCAAGAGTACACAAAATTCTGGCTAAGGACCCAGCCCAGGGTCCAGGAATACTTGTGAGACAAGATGGAAGCTACACGGAGTCTGATGAAGAGACTGCAAAACTCCTACTTGATACGCACTTCCCTGAAAATGTAACACATGCGTTGCC